ACCTAGGTAGTACAGTACCTAGGTAGTACAGTACCTAGGTCTAGGTAGTACCTAGGTACTTTTCTCGCTACCTTACCTTACCTAGGTACTGAAGATTCAATTCTACTTGACCGATACGTATAGGTACTTTTTGGAATACTGATACCGTCTTTCCAAGGTACTTTAAAACCTATGTTCACCAGATGAAAGAGTCAAAAAACGTTACCACCAAACTATATTTTTCGGGAGGTCTTTGTTTGTACCACATTAGCTATTAACAGATAAGTTATTAAAGCAAGATACCGAATAGTAATAACTCAACTGAACATCCAAATTTGGACACGTGTTGCACAGCGGAGTGCAACGACAGGTCATAAGCTAGGATTATATTAGTAAGGGTAGGAATCAACTATATGTGTTTGTATGCTTTACGGGGTAAGTACGGTTTGTATGTGTGCGTACGCAACTTGTATGTGCTGTATGTGCTGCGCTTGGATTTTTTTCGAAGCCTTTGTGTTCCGTATCGTGTCATTGGATGCTGCAGTATACGGGGATCGTACGGTTTGTATGTACACGTATGAAACCCGTATGTAACGTACGGCGATTCATGTCAGGCGCCTACGGCGACCGTATGCACGCATCTAGGTTCGCATAGGTACGGGACCCGTATGCACTCGCACGGATTGTACATGTATCGTATATAGGACCTATACAAACGAAATTTCACGGGGGAGGCATAACGCCGAGCCTGGGTCGTGTCACACTTCCTGTCAAGTCTCGGGATCTCCGCGGCCCCCGGCCACCCCACATTCACCTTCGAGACCGTGGTGTACGGCGGGTCTGCCCAGCCACGCCCAGCCAACGGGGAAAATGTGACGCCCGCTGCACAGCTACTGTGCTGTTGTACCAGGTGGGGACTCACGCCCACGCCGCGCACTTTTGTAGTTCCACTGCACCGCATGCACGCGTGCGGGCGGGTTGCCTACACTGGAATTTGGGGTGTTTAAAATGTATACGCCAAAGGGCGTACGCTACAGGACCCCAAGCAACATTTGGCTTATACTTTTGAGACATCTTTGACCATACAATATTCCCACTGCACAGCAGATGCCCGCCCTTTGATACTTAAACTCTGAAAGGCGCTCACCTCCTGTACCCGGTGCAACCGAGGTGCAACTGCACTGTTAAAAATTTCTTGGGATTTCCTGAAGATTCACCTTTCGCATCACTATTATAAATTCCCAGAGGACTCCGTTCTTAGTTTTTGTGTATTAAAACAAATGTTGAAGGTGAAAGTTTTCATGCGTCTATATGTTTCAATATATGTTTCAAAATCAAACTTGAAGCGTGAAATCTACAGAGGACTTTGGGAAATCCCAAAGGACTTTGGCAATACTTTCCACGAGTGTTCCTCCGTGAAATCCCAGGATTTTTTCTAACAGTGTGTGAATATGCAGCAGTGCTGTGGGTTTGCCTACTCTTTACACCCGTAGGGGGTCGTGGCCCCTGCGGCCATATTGAGTAGGCAATCCTGCAACACTGCTGCGTATTCGCAGTAGCACCCGGTACACCCTCACACTTGGCCAAACGCCTGCTGCATAGGCAACACTGCGACAGCGCGACACACCCGTGTGTTGCGGCGCTGCCTATCGTAGCGCCCGCAGGCGGTTATTCACAGCAGAATTCCAGAATTTTCACGTGCCAATACACTGTGTACATGTATATGCTGCTGTACGTTACAGTTAAAAAATCCTACAGGAAATTCTACAGTTTGGCCTGTCAATTTGTCGCTAGGGCCGCGACTGTGATTATTGATTACAGTCCACTCCGTACAGGATGTACTGTAACTTCGCAAACCGCCTTTTTGGTCAACACAGCACTTGAATTCAACACTGAAGTACAGCCCATATCATAACAGTCTGGCCTGTACATAAAATATACAGGACGGACCGTAGTCAAACTGTAATTCCTTACAGCATTTTTAA